TAGTTTGCATGATTTCTATTACATAAAAATCATTTGAATGCAATAAACTTTGTCGTCATAAAGCGACAAATTATCCGCAACCTATAAAAACACAGAGGAACAGTTCTAATCATAAACATTTACGCAATAGAGAAATGTACTCCATATATCACAGATTCTATACATGTCAGGTAACTCACTGTCTACATACTTTTAAGTTTACTTTAACAACAATGAGCGAGGGCGATATTTATATACAGCTATCTTAATGAAAAATAAAGCAATTATAAAATGTAAACTTAATTTTTAAAATATTCTTTAAACACTTTCACCATATCTGCACTAAGCCTCATTTGAGTCAAAACAGGACCATCATACGAATGCCTTAATTTACCAGGAAATGACCTTTCCTGTACCAGGTGGGTGGTGGTGTTGGCAGGCAGGACATGGTGTGGTATCCCTAGCTTGGTTGAGTTTGAGAATGCTTCTGGAGTAGACCGCTGTGCTGCCACTAATTCCACTCACCATTTGCTGGGGACATATGGCACTGGGGGCTGAGATGAAATTGAAATATTGGGTGGAGAAAAATTCAAAGATGGAGGGGGATTAGCCACTTCTCTCAGCTTGAGAAAAAGATTACTTCTAAAACTTTGCCTTTTCCCACCAGTTCCCTGGAAAAATATGTTGCATTGTTCTGCCAGCTACTTTTGAGTCACAATGAGTGTAGCCCAATTAACAACATGGAAAAATTATTTTTTTTTCAAGATTCATTAAAAGATAACTCTGCCTAAACCACAGCATAAATTGTATGCCGTTGATAGAGGTTCTCAGCTTGGATCATTGCTGGAACTCTCAACCACTGCTCTAGAAAGAGGTTTCTAAAACATGAGGCAGAAAAAGGATGCTTTTTGGACAGGAGGGTGCCATCCTCACTCTGAACCTCTTTTTGGACTGAGCAACACCAGTGAGCAAGAGTGTTTTAAGGGCCTCTCTGGCCCTACCCACAGAAATGAAATATAAATTGGGTCTTTTTCTATTTCATTTCTAGGATGCACAAAGAGCTTCTGTCCCCAGTGTCAGAGTTAAATATGCTATGTCATTTCATGTGCATTAAATGTGACTTTGAGATCAATGTCAAGATTGACTGGATTTCACTGACCTCAGTCAGCCACACTGGGGAGTGCCTCTCACTCTCGCCAGCTGGTGTCTAGCTGAATTCCCAAGGTAAAGCAATCAGCTTTGGAAATCCATATGTGTTGCTCAGTGAAGAAGGCTAGAAACAGTTGAAAAGACGAGGGGCAGCGACCTCCATTGTTGTAGTCTGGCACACAGTAAAATGCTCTGAAACTCCAGGGGCATTATAGGGCTAAAGAGGAGAAGAACATCTCAATTTAGGTGATGGCAGTCTTAATTGGAGTCTACCTCAAAGTCTTACTTCTCTGGAAGGAAAATACCACCCATGAACGTTCAGGAGCTGGTGGGAAAATCAAAAAGAAAAAGTCATACTTCCAAAATTCTCTTCACAAAGTAACATTTCCAGGAATAGAGGCTGGGTGTTTTTTTAATAGAGCAGTTATTTAGAATTTCTATTCTACCTTGCAAAGGAAAATGTACCTTCATTAATGTCCTTCCCAACCTCCATTCTTATCTTCATCATTGACCAAAAAAAAGTGCATTTTTTTTTCCTATGAATGCCCAACTACTTTTCAATTTGATCATTATTTTCACTGCTCTGAGATGAAAGAGGGAGTGGATAAACTAACGTTATCTTTTCTGGAACAGATTCGTCTCTCCCTTCCCTGCATGTTTACTCTTTGCCCCAAGAGGTGCTTGGTCATAACAGCACTTCCTTCCCAGGAAAGAAGTCTTCTAGAGCTTCCCCTGGCTGCTGTGAGTTACTGGGGAGCTTCATTAATGCCTTACCCAAAACTCTAACTCAGTGGTACCATATGAAAGGATCTGTCTGTGTGCACACGCATAGTTATTGATCAGTAAAAAGTGCAAGTCAAAATATAAGAGCCAAAATTACTACTAAACCTTGGGTAAATACTTCTATATTTCAGTTCTTGGACCCTTGTTCACCATGTCTTTTGAACACTGTGAATCTCTCAGCCTTATAAAGTTGGGTTTGCATAATTCAGACCATTCACAGTGTGTGCATGTATGTGTGTAAGGATGTGTATGTGTGTGTGTACACATGTGTATGTCTGCTGAAGGTCCCAAATATGTGTAAACCTTTTTCTTTCCTATACCCTTTAAGTGTGTGGGAAACTGGTACTTTGCCTCTGTAAGGCAAGGAACTTAGAATTATTAACTATAACATATATGCCAAATGGGAAATGTTTCAATTCACCCACGCTTCAGTTTGGTCAAATCTTCTTGTTTCTTTAGATTTAAAAATTCCAATTATCCTAACAGGAATTTTAAAACCAACACAGAAAATTAATATTTATACATAGGCCCAGTGGTTACTTGGCATTTAAAAAAAAACAAATAAAACTAAACCAAAACTTCATGGCTTTCCCAAAAGTCCTGTCATTGTAAAGGCTTAAGGCATAAAGAGAAACATTTCCACTAACTACTCCTCTTATGTCATTTGTGAACTGAATGGATGTTTATATAAATCTCTGCAATTCCAGAAATGAAATATACCCATAGTGCAGAACTACAGCTCTGCTAACTGGTCACAGAGCCAATCCACCTAAATTTTAAAATGAATGAAGCAACATAATAAGTTGCCAAAAAAAAAAAAAAGTTTGAGACTACAGAGTGAACACAAACAACTAAAACAACTGACCATACTGCTTCTGTTCAGAGCTGTGAAATTATTCTGCCCTCCTAGACCCCTACTTCTCAGAAACAGAAGCAAGGAACTTTGGGCAGTGTATCTGCAAACAAGCCTGACACTGCATTCGAACTATATGCACATGCACGCACACATACACACTCTCAGTCACTGCTTTAAAAACATCCAACATGCTAGTTAATAGATCTGAGTCTCTGGTTATATATTTCTACACTATAAGACAGGCGGTAAGCTCAGACAACTAAGGCAGTGGCTCATCTTTGGGGAGAGGCAGAAAAACAGTGATACTGAAGTACAAAAATATTAGCTATTTAACTGAGTCCATAGCCTGTTCTAAAATGCCTTTGCCTGCAACAAGATTTTCCTGAAGAAGTTCTAATTTCTAAGAGTTCTGAATCTAAGAACACGGCATCCTGCCTTGGCAAGGTCCCAACCATGCAGGTGCCATGTTTGTGATACTTGACACTTCAGAGGGTATGGAGCAGCACTAGGCTTATCCACTGTGAAATATACACGAATATGTAAATAACACTGTATCAGCCTCTCTAGTGTTTCTGAAAATCTCCGTTCTCCTGGACTAATTACAGCAATAAAGAAGGTGTGCTTCAAATAATCACACGTTGTAATAAGCCCAATCAAAACTAACTACTTGATCTGATGTCTATTTTTTTCCCATTTTTAATTTTTGTAAATACTCAAGACTAGACTAGACAGGCTGCCTCCTGTTTTTCTTTTCCTTTATTCCCCTGTACTTTTCAAATCACTATGAGCTCTCCTCTTAGTGTGCATATATGTATACATACATACATATATATATGTATATATGTATATATGTGTATATATGTATATATGTATACATATATATGAAACTAGTTCCACAAAACTATCATACTGTAGCTAGACATTTTGCCCTAGAGATTTTGAAATTCAGATTAAATTGTAACATAAGAATTTTTCAATTAAAAACCATTTAATCAAAATATCATTTGGATTCTAGATTAATAAAACAATGCTACTATACACTCTTAATGGCTGAACTATATAAGCAATCCTATGAGGCTTTTTTTTACATCACACTGGTTGAGAAAATAAAATTTAAAATCTTTCTGATGTTTACATGTACCATATATTGATATGCAAACCACACAGTGATGCATATGCATACAAGTATATTCATATATACATATATATACACAAAAACGCAAACACACATACACACATATACTTAAGGGATGGCAGATAGCCTTTTCTGTGGCATGACACATTATCTGTAAGAATCTTTATGTTACTGCAGACACACTTAAATTATCATGAATGAACCAGAGAGACTTAAGAAACCCTATTATAAGTATAGTTACACATATTGTAATACTATCTTACTGTTGCATTCAAGTCTACAATCTGTCATGCAGGTTCAAGTATTCACTGAAATTCTCTCCATGAGGACCAACTCCCAGCATGCAATGGGCCAGAGTGCTATCCTAAGATCATCCAAATAGGTCATGGATATTGTAGGTATAGGAGGACCTAAAAATTCACCAGTCCACCACTCTACTGAAGGTGTAGCCAGAGAAAGAATGAAAGAGAAGAGAGAGAGAGAGAGAGAGAGGAGAGAGAGAGAGAGAGAGACAGAGACAGAGACAGAGACAGAGAGAGACAGAGAGAGAGGGAGAGAGAGAGAGAGGAGAGAGAGAGAGAGAGAGAGAGAGAGAGAGAGAGAGAGAGAGAGAGAGAGAGAGAGAGAGAGAGAGAGAGAGAGAGAGATTGAAAAAGGGGGTGTCTGGAACTGAGAAGGAATCAGAAAGCTGTCCTTTGTTGCTTTTCCCTATTTTTGTACATCAGCAGTCAGGCCTCCAAGAGTCCCTTCTGGTGATGTGCTGGTGTCTGACCTTTAAAAAGCGAGAGGAAAGGGAATCACAAACTCTCAGGCAGATAAGCAGTTTGGCCCTACTTAAGGGAAGCTGGCAACTTTGGAGCAAGATTTATGAGCAATGGGGCTCCTTTAGCTTCAGAGCTGACTTGGGATGATTTTCTGCTCAAGTGACTTGGAATCCCATGAAGGGAAAGGAAGAACTATTTAAGTCCAATATAGCACCACGAGATACAAACTTTATTTTTGATTACTGTAAGGAATCTCTTCTGTGCTCTCATTATAGTGTGGGTTTTAGAGGTTGAGAAATATTCCTGGCATTTGACGATTAAACTGACTCAGTGCCCAAGTTAAAAGAAAAGTGGTATGTATTTTGCCAAGGTCCCAGGCAATTGGCCTAAGTCAACCCACAGCAATTTCAAAGTGGAAACAAAGCTACAGCATTTCAGACCTATTCTTGGCTATCCAGTAGAATGAGGATTTCAGTGGTGAATTAAAAAAAAAAAGATTGCTAAAGGAATTTTAAAAAAACAAACAAACAAACAAGCAAACTGAAACCCTAGACTTGGCAGTAAGGTATTTTTTTTCAAGGTGCAGCTTTGAACCTCTCAACTAAGCCAAAAAGGAAAAGTCAGAGGTCACAGGTGAGCGTTGTGTGAATTATTCACTGGCACCACCAACTTGGTATCTGTTTCCAGAGCAAAGGCCGAGCATCATTTCTTCTGAGCAGTAATGAGGGGCCCCTTTCTCATTGACCTCCTACTTCTGCCTAGCACCTCTTCCCATTCCCTGAATACAGAGCCACATTGCATTGGTCCAACCAAGTGAAGCCCCAGCTGAGGAAGTCAGCTTTTGCTCCGTCCACTCAGGGGAGGCTACGTTCTCCATTTACAGTTGTTTCCCTCAGGTCATTCCTGAGTAGTTCTTAGCCTCCTGGATTGTCCAAAGATTAGAAAGCCCAGGGACGGTACTCACCACATAGGGCAGGTCAATCAGTTTTATCTATGCTGTATAGTACCAGAAGCCCCTGACCAATCACTGACCGACCTTCACCACTTTCAGAGCCTGAGAAGCCCAGTGCTCTTTTGAATGGCACTAGCCTATTGATAAGCACTCCTAATGGCATAAGAAAAATGAAAATATATCCTGCATTATTCTGTCACTCCAGATGCACCCAAACTGTTGGCATTAAGATATAAGAAAATGGATAGAAATACTGGGTGGCTAAGCTAAATTAGAACCTTCTAAGGTGAGGTTGTTTTCTTAAACACAAAATCCCAAGAAAATCTGTGAGGTGGGATCAAAACACCCAAATTCCCAATAAAACATTCTTCTAGAACTCTGCATGTTAGATGGTAACCCCAACTCTGAAGAAACTCATGTATTTTTATATGTGAAACATTCATAATATTGGTCAAATTCAGCAATGACACTATTAAAACAGGGACACACTAGTAGCAAGACTTTCCTCTAATTTAAACAACAATGGATTGGTTTTAAGTCAAGGGCATCTTGACTTAAAAAGGTCTGCCACAGGTCAGAGAAACTCAGGCCCATCTGCCATGCCTTCGGCTCATGGAAGGTGAGGTAGGGGGTTGAGAAGCCACAGGGAGGGGTTTGTGAAGTACCTCATTGAAAAAGGAAAAAAAAGAAGGAAAAAAGAGTTCTTCAGTACCTTGAAGTAAGCAGCAGGAAGAAAGGAAGTCTGCATAGAACCTTGTTTCATCTTCCTTGACCAGATGTCAAAGGAAAGAGACTTCCATGAGTGGGAAGCACTGCCTTAGCTCCTCAGATGGTCTAAGCTAGTCTCATTGTAACTCTGTGAAGGTTGCTTCCTATAGACTCAGATGTGACATGTATTAATCAAGGGTTGGAAGGGAAAGGAGGAGAGGAGCTCCTAGTCCAATACCTAATGACGGACTGGCATTGTTACAGGGGTGAGTGGTGACCCTAGGTCACAACAGCAATTTTCATATTCACTATTTTAAAAACAAACCTATATAAACATAGTACACAGCAGCTTAAAATATAAAAGTATAACCTTCTAATCCAGATGAATAACTCATCAGCATAACCAGAAGTAAAAAAAGACTTCCATGAAGAAGGCAATGGAAATAATGCCTTACTCATGTGAGGCTAGCCAAATATTTCTAGGATTAGTCTAAACACCAGTAATACTGTAGGCAAGGTACCATTTAATGGGTATCTCATGTTGTAAGCACACAAAATGCACATAAACACACAATATACAAAGACATACACATTGAATGCATACAAACATTGAAGCACAAGCAGAGCAGTTTATGAGTTCAGTTACTGCAGGTACCTCTAGGACAAAGACGGAGGCAGACAATAGGCTGGAAATCCAAATGGAAAGAGTGTTTGTCCAGGGGGGTGGGAGTGGGGAGGATCTTCCTATCTCACGGAGGCCTGTAGATTCTAGAGCAGCTACAAAAAGCAAAATACTCTGGGCCACACAACTATACAATCCAACCTCATTTTTGCTCAGTTTCTGGACCTTTCAGGAAAAAAAAAAGTGATCCATTTAACGGGTCAGTTACAGGGCTTTTGTAAAAAAATCTGACCTGTGACATGAGAAGCTATGACCTCAGAAATATGAGATTCTTCCCCTCTCCTGTCCCCCAAGGCATCAAATAAACATTCAGTTTGTTTTCATATATGAGAGAAGTTACATTTTAATAAATAGCCCACTATGATTAAAGATTTATAAAGTTCTAAAGGTTAATTCTGTTTTCAAAAGAGATTGTTTTGGTTTTTAAAGCTAATTCTTTCTCATTTCTTAGAATGATGCCACCCTTGCATAGCATTTAATTCTTTGGTCAAAGTACATATGATTCAAGGTGACCAACTTTATTTGTTGTGACTATACTGCTCAAATAGGGGTGGGGAGATTCCTTCTTGATGGTGGCCAAAGTCTCCCTCTTGTTTTCTTTCTCTACAAGTCTCCCTTTCTTGTGCTTATCTTCCCCTGAATGCCAAAGTGATTACCACATGAAGACTCAGGAGGCCAAAAGACGTCTCACTAATTGCATGAGAAGACCTCAATGAGTGCTCTAGAAGGGGAGAATTTCCTTTGTTGACACCCCAAGTATAGAGAAAGGGGTGTTGGGGCTACAGTAGTAGTGAGCTAAGTGGTCTGGTCATCTCTTTCCTGTGAAAGGAACCAAAATAATGAACTGAGCAAAGAGCGGTTGCCCATATGCAACCACCAGATTTCCAGCAGCTACTGACCTAGATTTCACTATATGTGTATATATATATATATTTTCAGGTTATTAACACAGGGTACCATTCAAGACCCTTGAGAACTGTCTATTTTGTAAAGTTGTTTTCCTTGTTTTGTTCATTTCTCTGTGTAAACCTAAGAAAATAAAGAGTAATTTGCAACAATACTTTGTTGGACATGGGGGCAAGGAAACCTCCCTCCTGCCTCCATGTTCACACAGCCAAGAAATAACCAAATATCTACATACCCTAAGAAAGAACCCAATGCCAGTATGAAAGGCTATAACCAGACAGTGCAGAATCCCAAGTTCCTTCTCAGATCCAGCAGGAGTTATGTTCCTTTCCCCTGGAGATGAAAACTGGAACTATGAACATAGCTCCTCAATGGCTAATATGCCTGCCCTTCTTGGGCAAACAAAATTAACTTGGAATGAATCTTCCCTTAATCTTCACTGGGCAAAATGACTTCACTCTGCTTTCCTCTACTTCTCAATGGAATTGGTGTTTCAAGTAAGCTAACATGAGTTGTCTAGGACTAACAATCCCTGCAGTCTTCTCATTCTACTCCCCTGCTATGGGCAAGGTTCACAACTTGCTAAGTGCTAAAATGTGCTCGAGGCTGCATCATGTTGGGAAATTCGCATTCCCAGTGTCAGAGCCCTTCCCCTAACTTCTACCAGTGGTCAGTTCCACTTCTGTGACTGTGCAAGGTTTCATTTACAAAGACTTCTACTAATTCCAGACTTAGAGATGAACTCCAGCTAAGCTACAAGGCTCATCCAGTTAAGTCTTTTACAATGGATTACTTTTTTTTTCTTAAAGTGTAACAGCTGACTTGAGGAATACATAAAACAAGAGAGCAGTGTGCAAACAGGAGAAAATCCAAGGGGAAGGATCGCATCGTTCATTGGGAAACAGCGTTTCCCTTCCCCTCGCAAAACAAGGTGCATCAGTTGGCCAATGGCAAATTCTTAAAGCAAAGGGAGTAGGGAGCAAAAGCAACCCTTGGCAATATGTACAGAAAACAACAACAACCACCAAAAATAGGCTATAGAAAAAGGGTTACTAATGCACCATGTAGTCACAGAATCATTTGTTGGTATTGTTTTTATGAACCACAGATTATCAGAAAGATCTTGAAAAACAATATTTTGCTGCATGACCAGTGCTTCCTGTACTCCAATGGATTCTAAGTAACCTTCTGCTTAATGCTGGGTGTTTCTGGTCTGTAGTCCTTCCTTTCGGAGACGTTGCGCTTGACCTTGGCACTGACCGGAGAGGCCTCCTGGTTCAAGGATGGGCTTGAGTGGGATTTCTTCAGTCCCATCCCATCACTATCGCTGCCACCCAACAGCTTCTTTCCGCCTTCTTTCAGAAGATTCACGTACATCTCATAGCGAGATTTCTGAGGGTAGGGGAAAAAAGATGGAAAATCCACAGGAGAATAACCATTAATATATCACACATAACCCTATACAGTTATGATCAACAGCATTTTAACGACATCAAGGTTGAATAGCCAATGAGGACTTGACTCCATCAAATTGGCAGCAACCGCCTACAGGTAGTTGGTACCAGAAAGATCATAGCTACATGACCGCAAGACTAAATAGGCTTCAACTTTATCATAAGCAAAACGTGAGAGCAGAACTTGATGACCTCTGAAGGTCTCCAATTTCTTCCAATTCTTAAAGTTCATTGATGCCGATTCATTTATCTATACATTCAACAAGCAATTACTATGTGGTTATTTTATTTGTAAAAGCACCTTTCATTATAAGGAAACTCATCATTACATTAACTACTCATTAAATATAAGAGTATAAAAACAATAGCTCTTAAGCAAGCTTCTCTCCTCACAGGGAAATTCTCATTACAAGTAAATTCCTTATAAATATGACATCTTTACAAAACTTTGAACTTCATACCTAATTACTTTTCAGGCTTGAGTCAAATCAAGTCAACAAGCATTTATTAAGCTCCTACTATGTGCCAGGCACCATGCTAAGATAAAAAGAAAGGCAAACGCAGTCCCTGATCTCAAGGAACTCAGAGTCTAATGGGAGAGACAACATGCAAACAGCTAGCAACAAGCAAGATGTATCTGGGATAAAGTGGAGAGAATCTCAAGGCAAAGGCCATAGCTTAAGGAAGACCAGAAATGGCCTCTTCTAGAAGACAGGATATTAGCTGAGACTTGAAGGAAGACCAGGAAAGGGCTCTTCTAGAAGACAGGATATTAGCCGAAACTTGAAGGAAGACCAGGAAAGGGCTCTTCTAGAAGACAGGATATTAGCTGAGACTTGAAGGAGATAGAAAGTTCTAGACATGGGGGACAGCCAGTAAAAATACATGGAGTTGGGAGATGGGAGTGTCTTGGGTGAAGAATAGCAAAGAGGCCAGTGTTATTGAATCACAGAGTATGTGGAGGGGAATAAGATGTAAGAAGACTGGAAAGGGAGGAAAAGGTCAGGTTGTGAAGAGCTTTAAAAGCCAAACAGAGAATTTTACATTTGATCTGGGAGGTACTAGGAAGCCACTGGAGCTTACTGAAAAGGGGGGAAAGGATTATGCCTGTGTTTCTGGAAAATCTTTTGAGAGCTGAGTGGAGAAGGGACAGGAGTTAGAAGAGAATTGAGGTAGAGAGACCAATCTGCAGGCTATTAGAACAGTACAAGCATGAGGAGATACAGGCCCACTCCAGGGTGGTGGCAATGTCAGAGGAGAGAAGGCAGTATGTATGAGAGATGCTATAAAGGTAGAAACTACAGGGCTTAGCAAAGACTAGATATGGGGCATGAAATTGAGTGAGAAGATGAACATTAGAGGTTGTGAGTCTAGTTTGTACGACTGCAGAATGGGGGTGCAACTTAGGAAGAGGGGGAAGATTTGAGAGAAAAATGAATGAGTTAAGTTTTAGACATGTTGGTGGACATGGGGAGATCAGGAAAGTGGTTAGGGCTGGATTAATAGATCAGATAATCAACTACAGAGAGATAATAATTGTATCCATGGGAGCTAATGAGATCACTGAAGGAACAGTATAGAGGGAGAAGAGAAAATGGCCCCAGACAAAGACCTAGTGTAATCATCATTAGATTTGGCAATTAAGAGATCATTGGTAATGATGATGATGATGATGATGATAGCTAACAATTTATATAGTACTTGCTATATGCCAGATACTGTGCTAAGTACTTTACAACTATCATCTTATTTGATCCTCCCAACAACCCTGGAAGGTAGGTGCTATTATTACCCCTATTTTATAGATGAAGAAACTGAAGCAAACAGGAATTAAGTGACTTGCCCAGAGACACACAGCTAGTAAGTGTCTGAGTCCAGGTCTGAAATCAGGTCCAATACTCTATCCACTGAGCCACCTAGCTGCAATTTAAGAGTAGGCAAGATCTATATCTGGAGTACTAAGTCATAAACACATTCCATCAAACAGAAAAGGTACAAGAGCAAAAAACATTTAATCAGCAGAACTTAAGAGATATTCATATGAGGAAAATTATGGGTGATAGCAGAGGGAAAATCCCTGAGTTGACAAAATATTGGAAAAGTACTAGTTCTATGCATCAGTATGATGCAGACCTAATTACCATCTTAAATCATTACTCACTAGAAGTTTATAATCCTTTTTTAAATATAAATTTATTTATTTTTAGTTTTCAATATTTACTTCCACAAGCTTTTGAGTTCCAAATTTTCACCCCATCTCACCTCTCCCCCTACCCCAAGATGGCATGTATTCTGAATATCCCTTCCCCTAGTCTGCCCTTCCTTCTATCTCTCCCCCCCTTCTCTTATCCCCTTCCCTTCTATTTTTCTGTAGGGCAGGATAGATTTCTGTACCCCATTTCCTGTATTTCTTATGTCCCAATTGCATGTGAAAACTTTTTTTTTAAACATGTGTTTTTAAAACTTTAGATTCCAAATTTTCTCCCTTCCTCCCTACCCACCCTCATTGAAAAGGCAAGCAACTCAATACAGGCCATACATGTGCAGTTAGTTACACAAAACACTCCCATAGTGGACATATTGTGAAAAACTAACTCTATTTCCCTTAATCCTATCCTGCCCCCCCCATTTATTCTCTTCTTTCTTTTGACCCTGTCCCTCCTCATAAGTATTTGCTTCTGATTACCCCTTTCCCAATCTGCCTTCCCCTCTATCATCTCCCTGCTCTCTTGTCCCCTTTCCCCCCTATTTTCCTGTAGGGTAAGACAGATTTCCACACCCAATTGAGTGTGTATATTATTCCCTCCTTAAGCCACATCCTATGAGAATAAGATTCCCTTGTTCCCTCTCACCTTCCCCTTTCCCCCGTTTCCCCTCCACTGTAAGAGCCTTTTTGCATGAGATAATTTACCCCAAGTTTATAATTCTTATCTCTTCAGATGTCCTCTATCCCCCACCTCTTCAACATAAGACTACAGCTTCAATTTTTCTAATAGGAATCAAAGGGAAAATAAGATTTGCTTTACCAAAATTCACTTCAGACTACTTTGCTAGAACATACCCTATAAGAAATAGGGTACTTATATTTTGTTTGCTTCTATCTTAAGAAAGGGGACTAAGTGATCTTAATGCCTGAGCAGTAGTTTGTGGATGGCTAAAGGATATGAGTATAAGGCATGTTATTTCAGAGAGCTGGTGGCAGCCATACCACGAGGCACCTCAGCCAAAACTTTTGGAGATAGTTGAAAAAGAAAAACAGAAGAAAAGGAGATAGGGTTCATTCTTGCTACAAGACTCTGGAGAAACTGGTGAGACTCGGAAAGAGGACTCAAAAAAAAACCCCATCTTTAAAATACATGAAGGAAAAACAAGCAAACAAAAACCCTTTTCCATCTCACCCTACACCTTCAGTTCCAAGGTTTCAGAGGCAAATACATTACATGACTGTGTCAATCAATAAACAAAAGGCACAAAACACTTAGTGGTGAAGGTGGGGTGGGAGAGGGAGGAAAAGAAAAGGAAGGAAAAAGGATGAAAATGAGGACCAGGAACAAGAAGGGGTTAGGTCATCACAAAATGTACTGGTATTCATCTGCAAGCTTTAAATGGAGGTACTGTATATGCCCTGTAGGTTATAAAGAAGGCTTGTGATAAACAGGCAGTCAGACCCTGCCTATGTGTCATTAGACTAAAACCCACATTGCCTCTTCCACACATTCAATATGGGGAAAAGAACAATCCCTTTTTTAATGTTGCTGAGCTCATTTAAATCTGTAAGGCACACACATGCATACACACACACACACACACACACACACACACACACACACACACACACACACACACACACACACACACGATGACTTCTTTGACTTCCAGGACAGCTGCTAAAAAATTGGCCCCTAGAATAAAGCACTTCAACAAAGGAACTGGGAAGGGACAGGGCAGACTTGAGGAGTTATCCTCCATATTGTTTTCCATTTGCCTCATTTGGGGATTGTTAAGTCAAGTAGAAACACTCTTGTCTGACCTAATCAAGAGAGGTTCCGAATGGAACCTTTCCTCCTCAGATCAGTGGCAGAATTTAAGAACTAAAGTTTAGTTATCTTCAAATTTATCTTGTACATATCTGATTTATACATAAGTCATTTGAAGGTTGTGTTCCTCATTAGACTGTGAGCTCCCTGAGGGCAGGGACTGTCTTTCAGCTTTCTTTGTTTCCCAAGAGAAAAAGAAACTTCTACGTAGTAGGCACTTAAAGAATGTTTGATTGACTGATTGAGATAGTCAAGGGAGAAGAAGGTAGTGTATTTATAAAATATCCTTCAAGAGTTGATGCACTCCACCTTGCATGTTTTAGTAGATCTGCAAACACTGTCTAATGTCCTAAATTAACCTGAGAGTTGGGCTGATGTTCAATATTCAATGGGATGGTGAAAAAAGCGCAGAAAGTTTAAGTGATTTCCCAAGATCTATAGCTAGTAAGTGTAAACTAAAATACAAATAAAGTCCAACAGAGGTATGATTGTACCTTCTATTTGTGCCCACAGCTTTTATGATTTAATAATAAAATTAGTGAACAGTGAACAGCACCGGCTTTACATTTTGTTTTGTTTTTAATTCTTTCCCACCCATTATTCCATTTGCCCTCCAAAACAACTCTGAAAAGTAGGTAGGGCAGTCACAGTAGGATGTCAAAAATGAGGAGGTGAAGGAAGTAAGTATTTATTAAATGTCTACAGTATGCCAGGTATTGTGTTAAAGGGTTTACAAATATCTCATTTGATTTTCACAACGGTCTTAGGAATTAGGTGCTATTATTATCACCCCCATTTTATAGTCGGGGAAACTGAGGTAGACAGTAAGTGTTTGAGACTGGATTTGAATGTTAAGTCTTAACAACTCCAAGCCCGGTGTTCTATTCACTGGGCCTCCAGA